GCGCGATTCCGAGAAAAGGGAAAAGGGAGGCCGAGTTATGTTGTATCTAGTGGGGAGAAAAGCGGGCGGGGGTGGGAGATGAAATATAATAATTTTAAATAATGCGCTCACACACGCACGGACGCACGCACGCGCGCGCACACTCAAATATATACTCACGACACAAACATACACTCACACACAAACATACACTCACACACAAACATACACTCACACAAACATACACTCACACAAACATACACACACACACAAACATACACTCACACAAACATACACTCACACACAAACATGCACTCACACTCAAACACACTCACACACAAACACACCCACACACAAACACTCACACACAAATACACTCACACACACACAAACACACACACACACAAACACACTTACACACATACACAAGCACACACACACACAAACACACACACACAAACACACTTACACACACACACAAACACACACACACAAGCACACACACACACAAGAGAAGAGAAAAAAGGGAGTGTGAGAGAAGATAAATAGTCAGGGAGACGCTGTTCGTCCCCTGGTTTCCTTCTATCCACGCTTATGTCATAGACGTCTCAGGGATAGTAGCCAATTCCTTCAGACCGTCGCGAGGCATGCGCAAACGGTGCCACTTGTCACGTTGTCTGTGAATACCGGACAAGCCTACACATTTTTTTCTTCGCTGAGAACGACTGAGGGATAGAAGTTCTGTCTTGTCGGAATAGAGGAGGTTATGGGAAGGGATTCTTTAAGAGGATTCTTTAAAATGTTTTTTTACGTATTTGTTTATTTAGGTAAGGGAAAGTGCAAAAGAGAAAATAGCTATTTTAACTGATCGCTGACGCCTTTTTTCAGTTTCTGTATGTTTTGTTATCAATATATGTACGACAACTGCTATCATTATTATGCCTTTCGTTACTGCTGCCACGACTGTTACAACCTTACTGCATTACCGTTACTGTTTCTGCTACTACTACAAGTGCTAGCATTACTACTGCTACTACTAGTGGTGCTACTACTATTACTATTACTACTACTATTACTATATATGTGTGTGCGTGTGTGTGTGTGTGTGTGTGTTTGTGTGTGAGAGAGAGAGAGAGAGAGAGAGAGAGAGAGAGAGAGAGAGAGAGAGAGAGAGAAGGAAAGGTAAAGGGAGTGTGTATGTGTGGGTAAACATATTTCCTCAGAAAAATCCTAAACTCTGCTATATAAATAAATAATGCAAATAACAGGTTTATGTAGACAAAGACAAAGAGAGAAAAGTCAACGTAAAGATCCTGTTCGAAAAGATAAACATTCTTGGTATTGCATATGCCTTACCGATCAAAGAAAACAAAAGAAAAAAACTACGAAGTCATCTTTTGATTGGAAACGAGCGCCCAAATTAACAAGATCAGGTGAGGGGTGTCATGATGACGAGATAGTGCCCTCGCCAACACTTGTGTGCGCGTGCTGTGTGGGCGGTCGACAACCACCAACCTGCAGTGACGTGTAACATTGGCACAGTTCCCTCGCGCGCTGTCCCACGAGATCCTTGCTTTGAAATTGTGATGTTGCCAAGGAAATGTTTTGACGCAGGGATTGTGTGTGTTTGGTCTTGTTTTTTCTTATTTTTTATTATTTTGGTTGTTTTTTTTCTCTTCCTCACTCTCTATGTCTGTCTATCTATCTGTATTTCCCTCTCTCCTCTCCCCACATTCATCCCCCCACCTTTATTCTCTCCAACTCTTTAATTCCACCCTTTGTTTCCCGAGACCATGCACTTCAGCAGCAGACAAGTGATAGCGATGTTGGGAACATCTGGAATGGGAATAGGAAAAATATTAGGTGACGAGTGAGAACGATCGATTTTAAAGGGAATCAGAGAGAAGGAACGAGGGAAGGGGATCTCTCTCTCTCTCTCTCTCTCTCTCTCTCTCTCTCTCTCTCTCTCTCTCTCTCTCTCTCTCTGTACCGGTCAGTCAGCTTATCTATTTATCTCTCTCTCTCTCTCTCCCTCCCACTCCCTCTCCCTCACCCTGTCAGTCTCCGTTTCCCTTTCCCTTTCTCCCCCCCACCTCTCTCTCCCTCTCCATCTCCCTCTCCCTCTCCCTCTCCCTGTCAGTATCCGTTTCCCTCTCCCTTTCATTCCCACTCTCCCTCGTAGCCTCCCTCCCGTTCTCCAACTTCGTAGTTATAGTGACCTGTTTTCGTGATCTCTTTCGCCTCGCATACCGGAAAAGTCATATGCTTCCTATCTTACAGTAATTCCACTGTCCTCCGCCGACTCCAATAGGTCTACCACCGTGACAATGAGAGACCTTAGAACACGCTAATCCAACCCTTATTGCTCGTAAGCAATTCCTCTGTGTATAATTGTGTCATATTTTATACTCAAATTTTTCGTTAGAAAATGCCTATTCTGAATCTCTAAGTATGTTATCGCTATTATTATCGATATTCAAATGTCTATGTTTTATGAATACTCAGCTTTTCTGTCTCCTTATCACGAAGCTTTTCAGTCTTGTAAACACCATAACTCTATGCATCGAATCCATCGTGTGATCATATGTATCATATGCTCCTCCCTGGGCGCCTCTGCCTTTCCTGTCCTCTGTACTCTAGCTACCATACTCCCGTAGTAGTAAAGTATAGAATCTGCGACAACTTTAACTCGGCTCCCAAGAACCAAACCAGTGCCATTCAAAGAAGAACACGAATTCGCCACATCATTACATTGGTGGCAGGCCTACTAGGATAACTCCCACACATATATATTACATTGGTGTCAGCGCACTGGCGTAGCCTTCCAACATGTTACACTCGTACCTCCCCCCCCCCTCGCTCTCCCACCCCCTTTGACATTCTTGTAGGGAAGTAGGTCATGGATACTCAAGAGTACGTACATACGTACATACTTATGTACACATATGCATATGTATGTGTACACACACACACACACACACACACACACACTCACACACACATATATACATACATACATCCATACATATATATACACACACACACACAAACATATATATGTGTGTGTATGTATACATTTATATTTATGCATATATATATATATATATATATATATATATATATATATATATATATATATATATAAATGTGTGTGTGTCGGTGTGTCTGGGTATGTGTTGTGTATGTGTACGTATAAATAGGTACATATATATGTGTATATATTTATATATACTTATGTGTACATATGTAGTTATAGATAAATTGATAGATATATAGATATGCGTGTGCATATATATATATATATATATATATATATATATATATATATATATATATATATATATATATAGATATAGATATAGATATAGATATAGATAGATAGATAGATAGATATTCATATATATGTTTATATATACATGTATAAATATATATGAACAAACTTTTATACATTTATATACATACATACATAAATATACAGTTTGAGTGTTTATTTGTTTGGTTTGTCTTGAGTACGAGACACCTGAGCTACCTGGCGCGGCAGTCCCTCTGTTGCCGGGCGTGCTGACAGGCCGTCGCGGGTTTTTAGTTGTTCGAAGTTGTCTTATGCTCTCTTTCCTTTTCATTTTGCGATGGCAATGTGGATATATATATATATATATATATATATATATATATATATATATAATATTTATATATGTACACACACACACACACACACACACACACACACACACACACACACACACACACACACACACACACACACACACACACACACACACACAAAAGATATCGGTGCTCGTCCTTTCGAAACATGAAATCATCGAAGCCTGTTTTGAAATTTTTGAAACAAAAACTTTTTTTTTCTTTATTTCATAGAAAAGGTAAACAGAAAACCAGTAAAATACTTAATATGCAGGCATGGTATTTGGTTCGAAGCAATTATTGGAAAAAAAAGTACCGGACTAATGTGCGAATTTGTTTATACACACCACTCTTCGCTCGCAAGGCTGTGGAAACTTTCAAATGCTCAGGTTCAGCCAAATATTTTACATTATCGTATGCATCGCGAGTGTGCTTTATGTTCATATGAGTCAGAATCTCATACAGCTGGTTAATTCTTGTGATCAAATATATTTACTTGTGCTAGGGCCTATCTCAACCAGTCAAGACACACGGCTCTCCCTGTGATATTTTTGAGTCTGTAAGGTTACATCGTAGCGACACAGGATGATTCAAACCACCCAAGCAATAACACATCATATCACTTGGCACGTTTGAAATCCTTATTATGTCCTTTCATAATTATTGACTTCATTATCTGCTCACATACAGTGAACATGTATTCAATGTATTTGAAGATCTTATGCATCTTTGTATATGATTTTCATGTCAAGAAACATACGAAATATTTCGTGATTAATTAATATATGAAGTCTAAACCGAGACGTTCGCGGAAGTATTTTCAAAGTATTCTCTCTCTCTCTATCTCTCTATCTATATATATATATCTCTATCTATCTATCAATATACATACACTCACTTACACACACGTGTGTGTGTGTTTGTATTATACATATGTATGTATATATATATATATATATATATATATATATATATATATATATATATATATATATATATACATATATATGTACATATATATATATATATATATATATATATATATATATATATATATATATATATATATATATATATATATATGCATATGCATATATATGTGTATATATATATATATTATATGTATATATATAAGATATATATATATTATATTATATATATATATACATACATATATATATATATATATATATATATATATATATATATATATATATATATATATATATATATATGTATATTTATATGTGTTTTTGCTCAGTGGTTTAGAGAGCTTAGGCGCCCTGTAAATGATTGACATAAAGCTATTTACATTTAGGATAAAGGATAAAGATCAAAATCCAACAGTAAACTTTAAATTTTGCTCCTCTCCGCAGACAAGGAGCGGCGACGGCGGCGGCGGCGGCGGTGGCGGCCCTAACTTCGGGTTGCTGTTCGACATCGACGGCGTCATCGTGCGGGGCTCGCGCATCCTGCCGACGGCTCCGGAGGCGTTCTCGCACCTGGTCGACGCCTCCGGCCAGTTCCGCGTGCCCACCGTGTTCGTTACCAACGCCGGCAATGCCCTCAGGAGCGAGAAGGCGGAGCAGCTCTCCAAGTGGTTGGGCGTCACGGTGAGTCGAGGAGAGGAGTTGAAAGTGTGTGTGTGTGTGTGTCTGTGTCTTGATATTGAGTTCGTAATTGCTTGTGCATGCATCAATGTCATTATTTTACATTTTTACAAACCATCATTTCTGAAATCCTCTTTATTTGGCAGGTCCACGAAGACCAAGTTGTAATGGCCCACTCTCCTCTCAAGATGTTTGACCAATACTTTAATAAGCATGTGCTAATATCAGGCCAGGGTCCTGTTCAGGAAATCGCAAACAATCTCGGATTCTGCAATACAACAACGGTAGATGAATTACGGACGGCTTACCCACAGCTGGACTGTGTGGATCATAGGAGACGTTCTTTGAAGGTTTGTTGTAAAATACATGCGTCAGAAATTGATTGATAAAAATACAATAGCATATTTTTTTTGTCATTAACCGTATTCAGTTTTGATAATCAAAATAAATTAATAATTGTATTTCTCTTATATACAAGAATTGTAGCTGAAAGTTTATGCATTGTATCAGAGAAACCTCAAATCACTATTATTTATATCTTGGGTGTGGTATCAATAGATTGTCAGTTAGGCAAATTAGTCTCGGTAATATATGCATGCCAAGTTATTCCCCCCCCCCCCTACTCTCTCTCTCTCTCTCTCTCTCTGTCTTCTCTCCTCTCTCTCTTCTCTCCCTCTCTGTCTTCTCTCCCTCTCTGTCTTTCTCTCCCTCTCTGTCTTTCTCTCCCTCTCTGTCTTTCTCTCCCTCTCTGTCTTTCTCTCCCTCTCTGTCTTTCTCTCCCTCTCTGTCTTTCTCTCTCTCTCTCTCTCTCTCTCTCTCTCTCTCTCTCTCTCTCTCTCTCTCTCTCTCTCTCTCTCTCTCTCTCTCTCTCTCTCTCTTCTCTCCCTCTCTCTCTTTCTCTCCCTCTCTCTCTTTCTCTCCCTCTCTCTCTTTCTCTCCCTCTCTCTCTTTCTCTCCCTCTCTCTCTTTCTCTCCCTCTCTCTCTTTCTCTCCCTCTCTCTCTTTCTCTCCCTCTCTCTCTTTCTCTCCCTCTCTCTCTTCTCTCCTCTCTCTCTCTCTCTCTCTCTCTCTCTCTCTCTCTCTCTCTCTCTCTCTCTCTCTCTCTCTCTCTCTCTCTCTCTCTCTCTCTCTCTCTCTCTCTGCAACTCTTCATCTACCCATCTTTCCGTCTCTTTCTCTTAAGGTTATCCTATCATGTGCCATTCCTTCTCGTTATAGGCAGTTAATTCCTCACCGATAACAAAAATAGATGCCCTCATGCTGTTTGGTGAGCCTGTGAGGTGGGAGACATCATTGCAACTTTTAATAGATATACTAATGACCAACGGAGATGTTTCTGGGACACCCACTGCCCCATACCCACATCTGCCCATCCTTGCTTGCAACATGGACCTGCAGTGGATGGCAGAAGCTCATATGCCCAGGTGAATTATGTGCATTGGACCTGTTGTAATTGAAATTGGCTGAAGATCCAGTCTATTATTTGATACAGTCTAATCTCAGGTGTCTTTTTCTCCTTATTTTTATTTTTCACATACTTTTCTGTTCTTCCAGATTCGGTCACGGTGCTTTCTTGCTCTGTCTTGAGGCACTCTACAAAAAATTGACAGGGAATGACCTCATATACACAGCCCTGGTTGGGAAGCCCTCAGAAATCACATATTACCATGCTGAAACAATGGTTCAAGAGCATGCGAGATCTATAGGCATTAGCAATTCTATCACAAAACTTTATGCAATTGGGTGAGTTACTTATTTTTACCTTAATTTTCCATGGTGTAGACTTTATGCCTAGATTGTCATTAATCAAAGCGTATGTGAATAGTCCCAGTTTTTTATATTAATTGTCTGCTGTCTGATCATATCATAGAGCCCCCTGTATAACAAGTTGATCATTTAGTTACTAAAATGAGCGTGTTTATTTTTCAGAGACAATATTCATACAGATATATTTGGAATGAATTTATATCAAGAATATGTAAGGAGACACCGCAGAAGCAAAAAGCACGTGTCAATGCAAGGTGCCAGAGGTCTTGATCTTTCCACTCATGACTTTAAGGGTCTGACTGCCGATCAGTGTTATTCTGTACTAGTTAAGGTAAGTCTCAGCCCTTGTCAATTTTCGTGATTGCAGATGATATATTTGTTGTTCAGGCTAGCTTGAAGAGTAGGATTACAGTTACAATTATTAGATTTTTAAATTTTATAAGGCTGAACCTTTCTCCTTTCATATATGTAATTTTAAGTTTATATATATTGTATTTGCTGGTACTTTTCTAGCAACCTTCATACTATAGAAGATGATTACTGAAAAGGGAATTCTATATATATTGCAGAGTTCTATGACTAATTCTTTCTTCATGCTCGACTATCCTTTTATTATAATAGCTAAGAGTATTAAAAACCCTTCCATGATGAGGACTCAGCTCCACTCTCTAGAAATAAAAAATGGAAAAATGTATTTTTCTATATAAAATGTATTACTTCATTATTCTATCTTGAAACAGAAGATATTTTTAAGTGATAAGGTTGATTCTATTATCCTTTGTGAATATAATTTTCAGGTGCAACCATTACCTGACAGAACCTTAAATTACATTTCTTCTTTGCATTGGCAGACAGGAGTGCACAATGGAGCAGAGCAGCTTCTTGAACACTCACCAAGAGACTTCCTCCCTGTCGAATCCAAACTGCAAGAACCTTCACTCACCGTCATGTGTGTCCTAGAGGCCATTACAAACATATTCAAGCGTGAGAACTACCGGTGAACCCTAAATGAGGCAGGAGCGTGAGATGTATGCGAGTGCTTTATATAGCAGCTGATTTGGCTGTGGTCTTGCCTTGGGCTTTTCACTAGTTGACTAAGATATATACACATGATTTTTTTTGTAGGTGAGCTACATTTACCAATGAAGGAATAAAGAGTATTTAAAGACATTTTTTCAAATATGCAGTATGTATGTTAAAGGGCATAGGAAAGTATATAATTTTCAATAGAGAGTCTTGTTGACAGATTTTGTTTTAGAGTGTACATCTTTAAACCCAGATAGCTGCTGTAGGCAATAGAAGATTAAAGAGCTGTGAGATAGATACCCATATCCCTATGGTGTATATTGTTGATCTCGTTTTATGCATTCTTGCTGAGGGAATTATTTGGTAAAGAGCTGGAAACTACAAAGATTTCATGAATATTTAAAAGAATGTTGATAATTTATTAAATTTTAGTCATTATTTATTGTGGTATGTAACTGGAATGCGAAGCATTAATTTAGTGTGATTCTCTCTCTCTCTCTCTTTCCCTCTCTCTCTCTCTCTCTCTCTCTCTCTCTCTCTCTCTCTCTCTCTCTCTCTCTCTCTCTCTCTCTCTCTCTCTCTCTCTCTCTCTCTCTCTCTCTCTCTCTCTCTCTCTCTCTCTCTCTCTCTCACAGTGTGTGTGTGTGTGCGTGTGCGTGTGCGTGTTTGTGTGCGTGCATGTGTGCGTGCGCATGTGTATATGCATAGTGTGTAGTCTAGTGTATTATCGTGTAAAAGAAGAAAAGAGAATGTCACAAATCTAACATTATGGCAAGTCTAAATAAACTAAAAATTGTCAGAAAAAAATTGAAAATATACTCAAATAGTCAGGAATTTTTTCTCACTTGCTGTATTTATTATTTTTAAAGATTAAGGATTATAAATCATATAAAAAAGAGAGAAAGGGAAATATAAGCACTTCTTATCAGAGAGAGAAAGAGGTATGAAGTCTGCAAAACCAGAGTGGAAACTATGTGCTGTTCAATCTCAAGAAAGCTAAACCAGGAGTACTCCAATTTGCCAAGTATCTTTTAAGCATAAACTTGGTGCCAGGTGAATAGTATGAAAAAAAAATCCCCAGAGTCTGGGGTTAATTTACCAGTCGTGTTCTTTCCTGAAATTGGATGTATTATAGTTTAATATTTTCAAAAGTGTATAAGAAAGAAAAGAAAGAGAAAGAAAGCTGTCTCTTTGACTAAAGATGGTGTGCATATTCTGTGTTTTGTTATATATGTTTGTGTTTATTTAACTACCTCTTTTACCCATATGTAAATGTTTAACTAAATCTGTAGTATTGTATAACTCAAAAAGAAAAAATAATTTCTTGGAGGTATTGATATTCTGTAATGTATTAACTGAGTATTGATAACAAATGGATACTCATCATATTGATGAACTCTATAATCTCCCAACCTGATAATAGAACCAGATTCGTCCATATGCATTAAACTATGATAACCAACAATGATATCTTTATTTTCTTTCTTTCTTTTTGAGTTCCACCAGGTCTGATTGTTAAAAAAAAAAATAATGTCAGTGTTTAACCTTTCCTTTGTTAACCATATGAAGACAATATGTAATACTGTATGGTATCACAGGGTAATTCATCTTCAAGATTGTAGCCATACATATAAGCAGTTGTAGCCTGGTCTGATTTTATCTTTCATTTAGGCTGCTTACACATCAAAAACTTTTCTTGTATGTGCAGTAGATAAAAAAGTTAGGTTAACAAAACAGGTTCAGCTGAAGAGTAAATAAAATCAGTATACTCATTGCCATAATAACTTATAATTTAGTACTTTATAAAGAATAAGTTAAACCAGTATATTAATTGCCATAATAGCCTGTACTTCAGCAAAATATAAAAAACATTTCACAACTGCCGACATCTACATGCAGGTAAGAATTATTGTTTGATTTTCAGAATTTGTTTTTCCAAAGCAACAAAGGTAAAACAATAATTCAGTAATACTCTTTGGACTTCTAATTATTTATAAACCAGACATCTTGAAAGCTTAACAAATTTAGAAATATAGATGAAACAAATATTAAATGTTATACCCCCCCCCCCCAAAAAAAAAAAAAAAAAAAAAAAAAAAAAAAAAAAAAAAAGTATAATGATTAATCACACTCCCTGTGTTCTCTGCTACCCACTGATATATTCAAGTTTCTAGTTGTAATTTTTCCATTTTAAAATAAATGTTTTATCATGTAATTTTGTCCAGATTGAAATAAATGCTTTGTTAGCAGTTACTGGAAACTTGGTGGAGTACCTTAATTACTTGCTTTACTTACTAATCTTATGATCCCTTATTCAGTACAACTTCTACCTGAAGGCAATTGTAATTATTTGTCTTACCAGGCTACAGTTGCTCTATGTTTTATCAGATATCATGCCACCACGGCAGGATATAGGAATCTCAAAACGCATATCAAGTCCTTTATGCTTAGTATAATATAACCTGTAATTGTGAGACAAACTGTAATCATAGGATTATATGATATTAAGCCCTCCTTGTTTAGTGAATTTTTAACTTACAAAATATAATACAGCTACTGTTACAGGATTATGTGATCTTGTAACTACAGTAACATCAGGAAAATGTCTAGTCAGTTGACAATTGCAAGGAACAGAGAGATGTGCTACTACTGCTGATTATATTTGTCATTATATATTTTATCTTGCACATACAAGGGCATTATGACTGGTATTATTACACAGAGGGATAAAAGTTTCATATTTCTGGAAACAGAAACTTCTGAGACAAGTCTGATAAGAAATGGTAATATGAATAGATGTTTATTAGTATGTATAATCTATAATCTGTGAAATTAAATGAATGGCCAGTTTAGATGTTTTTCATGAATATATTTTAAATATGAGGACTAAGACTACAAAATGATGAAGGAATGTAATAAATGGGTTGTTTTAGTAAATATACTTATATATGTGTTTAAGGTATAAAAAAAAAATGAAGTTCTTACAGATATTGAAGAATCAGAATCCTTCTCTCTTCACTCTTATATCTTATATTTCCCTTTTTTCAAAATGACCAATATATGTTGATAAATAAGCAGTTTCCTTTGGTTATAGTTGCACACAGTTAACCTACAGTATCCCAGAAAATTTATGATGCATAAATTACAGTGAGACAATTTAATTCAGGGGTTCTCAAAGTGGTTGATATTGCCTCGTCGGGGTCCATTGAGACCATCCAAGGGGTCGGTGCTTACCAAGGGCTTGAGAGGGGGATCCACGAATATCAAAGCCTGGAGCTCGAAAAATGGCTGGAGGTTAAAGATGAAAAATACCTGGAGTAAAATGTGAAAAGTCTATTTGTGATTCAGACAAGTCTTTAGTTTGGGGGCCCTGTAAGCTTGTAAGAGTCTGTGCCTGTCCTTGGTGTTTTCTGAAGGTGTGGCCACCTTGCCTGTCCATGGACATTCACACACACATTCTCTCACACATTTGCTCATCTACTCTCAATATGGATGGAGAGTGACAGCAACTACAATATATTAATATATTTGTTAAGGTAAAATTCAAAATATATTGTATAATGTATATGGCTTGTAATTTTAATTTTAAATTTTGTGATTGAACTTCATTAAGGGGTTGATGGACTGAAATTTTTGTGAATCTCTCATCTTGGACAAACTACATAACATGACTTTATATGACCATCTGCAAAAGGTTTACATCTTTACATATATATATTTTTTCTTTTTTGGTGCCAATAAAGTTTTAGATTTACTCTGGGTAACTTATTTTAAGGAAACTAATGTAAGGTTGCTGTAGCAATAGCATACTGGAAGGTAGGCCTACATGTCACTGATGTTTTGAATACGGAGCTGTGAGAAAGTTTAGATGTTTATTCTCATTCTCGAAATCACAATCAAATCATAACTCACTTTTTTATACATGTGGTTCAGATTTTCATGAATCCTTGAACAGTATGCTACTTTTCATTGACAATGTTTAAAGAATGACACATTCACAACATTAAATATGTATATATACAACTGGCTTTTAATAACCTAATAAGAAATAATGTTTGGTGTATATTTTCTATCTTATATTTTAGTAATGAGTCCATTGGCACTGGGAGGGCATGTAATGTACATACACAACCAACCACTGATATTAGTACATTCATTTTGTTTACACAAATGGCTTTTGAAGCACTTGGTCTCCAAGGAGTAAATTACCATGCTAACCCAAACTTACCTCCAAAGGCCTTTCCATTATTACTATTAGTATTGTTGCTACCATTATATTAATAGTAATCTTGATAAAAGTATAAGAAAAAATCTTTTTACAAAAACTAAAGGAATGGGGCAACAGGTGAGGTCAAGAAATACTACCTATTGACCATTTGACGAATTTCATGAATTTTGTTGGAACAAAATCACAAAAAGCCACAGTGGACAGTGCATTTACCCATTACCAGTAAGTATGATATTATTACTTCTCACTTTTTTTTCTCTTGAATTCACATTTTGTTTGCATCTTTTTGGAATTTGGTGAAAGGTGCTTAATGTGTTTGTCTGTACAAGTTGCCCTAGATATATATACTTGTATGTATGTATATCTATCTATCTATATGCATTATATATAATATAATATAATATATATATATATATATATATATATATATATATATATATATATATATATATATATATATATATATATATATATATATATACACATATATATACACATATATATACATGTATGTATGTATGTATGTATGTATGTATGCATGTATGTGTATATATATATATATATATATATATATATATATATATATATATATATATATATATATATATATATATATATATATGTATATATTTACCCTTAGGGACTATCAAGAGCCAAAATATCAAGACTAAGTATTTTGAAGCCAACTGTCTCTCTATGGAACCAGTGCCAACAACCAACTGGATCCACCAGAGACAAGGCCAGAAGTGGGTGCCCTATGTGCATGCCGGAGGAAGATCAAGTAAATGTTATTCAGAACTATAAATCACTGTACTATATGAAAGACAAATAGGAAGTTTGCTCTAAAGTGTATATTGTAGTACTCCTCACAGCTGACTGCCCCCCTGCAGGGATATCAATGTCAGGTTGAGCTCACAGCACTCTTTGTATCATATTGTTAAGTAAGAAAGAGTAAAGATACGTTTTTTAGTGAGTGTACATACATACATACATACATACATATATATATATATATATATATATATATATATATATATATATATATATATATATATATATATATATATATGTTTCTATATGTATATATATATATATATATATATATATATATATATATATATATATATATATATATATATATATATATATATATATATGTATATATATATATATGTATATATATATGTATATATATATGTATATATATATACATATGTATATATATATGTATATATATATACATATATATATACATATATATATACATATATATATATATATATATATATATATATATATATATATATATATATATATATATATATATATATATATATATATATGTAAATATATGTATATATATATACATATATAAATACATATACATATATTTATATAAAGATATATATGTGTATGTATGTATGTATGTATATATATATATATATATATATATATATATATATATATATATATATATATATATATATATATATATATATATATATATATATATAAATACACACATATTCAATTATATGAATGATGCACTTCCATAAGCCCCATCTCCCTCTTGGTCAAAATTAAAACAAAGTCCTAAGCTAAAGTGACACTTTATTTTCAAATTCATGAAACATATATATCTTTCCTCATTATGTATTGTCAATATATTAGTTGCGGATACAAGTACTTAAAAAATAACACCAATAACGTCCATTAGATTTTTCTCTATGTTTTTTCTTTTTTCTTTTTTTTTTTATGGACTCTGATCATCCATAACCATATCCTCGATAAGAAGTGCAGTTGATTGACCTAAGGACTGGCTTAGAGAATCTCTCCCAACATCTGAAGAATGCATCACGGGCTGACCTGTATACCAAATCAAAAAAAGTTATATAACTTCTATATACCACAATTGGAAACTGAAGACTTCTTTAATTTACTGGCAATAGTACATTGTTGTAATAACACCTGTACAACAAAATATTTTTAAGACTTTGAATACAAAATTATGTCTTAACTAATTATAGTACATATCTTTTTTTTTTATCTAGGAATTATTGTACAGAATTGAACAAAATCGTCAACCATTTAGTCAGCCTGGAAATAATAGAATAAAAACACCAAGAAGAAAAAGGATCAAAGGAATAACTTTCTACACTACACTGAAAAATACTCACCTATACTAGATCCCAGTAAATTTGAGTCGCTAAGAGGATCATCTGCTGAGGCTGGTGTAA